TCCCTTGTGGGATAATTTGGTACAGTTTTCTCACTTCTAAGGTTATCATGATTTGCTGTTGATTGTGAGTTTACATTTGCATATGTAAATGTTTTGCTAGTGCAGTTTTCTGTATATGTGATGGCTAAGAGTGCTTCGTGCCTCTGCATAGTGCAAGCATGAGTTAAAACCATTTATTTCTCCTCATAAGTCTGAATATTTTGATGCAGTTGGCAAGTTTTTCTATCTTCGCCGTCTGGTGAAAATATGGATTTACCACATTGCATGAAACCAACAGAAGATCATGCTCTTGATGAGGTTTGTGCATTTTGTTACTTAGCTTTCAATACTTCCATAGTCTAGCTTAATACATTCTGGATGGGCTATGGAATCTTACCAATGACATTGTTTTTTAATATCTCATATTTCTTTGAATGTTGCTTTTTCATTTCCAAATAATCTTGTGGCAAGAAAGATTTGTATCTCAGTGGTAAAAGCTTTTTCTTGTTTGTGGCCGCAGAGTTTGGAAATTGAGGAGGCATTACCAGAGAAAGCAACCTGCCATGAGGGAGTATTTTATAATTACTTTAGCATAGGTATATTAGGCATTTTCTTTTTAACATTGTGCATACACTAAGGGATGGAAACTTTATAACTTAAGCCAATAACACTCGTATCAATGATAAATCTTGAAAAACCATTATGTACTTGAAAATTTGAAGGATTATGCATTTATTCAGCCATTTACGTGAGTGTCAATATAAAATATTTTGTATGTAGAAATTGATAATAGTGTTAAAATTAAGGAGGCTTGTATGCAGAAATTGATTTGTGTCGATATTAAAGCGGTTTGTTGGCAGAAACTGATTTTTTTAAAATTAGTTTTAGAAAAGCCCCTCCTGAACAAGTGGAGGGTTATTGTGTACATTATCACTCTACTTTTTATATTTAGCCTATGGACAGTCTACACCACTTTAGTATACATGTTTAGTCTTTAGCATTACTTGAGTTCTGTTAATTTTCTGCATCTCTTATGGATAATAGGTTTTACAGGGGAATTGAGGTTGTTATACTTTTTTCTATATTTCATTTTTTCTGCAAAGACCCAGCATTCAAGCAGACTATCTATTGTACTGTCATTGAAATGTCTAAAATGGGCTCGAGCAACAACGGCTAGCTTTAGGCCATTGTAACTGAATTTCTTAGAGGGCAATATATGCTTTGAAAAATATGGTTTGTGTCAAAATGCATTTTTGTACTAACGTGGTCTACAAATTTAAATAAAATGCACCTACCTGCTTTTAATTGAATAGAGGATGGCACTGGTGAATCTCTCTATCTTACGGTTAAGGGAGATAGCTTCGGACCAGAGATATAATTTTCTCGGATGATGGAGTAGCTCCCTTGCAAAAAGAGAGGTTGAATTTACATGTGTTTATCGCAGATGCCATTTTATTTGTTAGTACAACAAAGGAGTGCATTTGTTAATTTCTCGTATCACATTGTTCAAAGAATATAATTTTAAACTCTAATGGTATTTGCATTTGATGATCTTTATTTGATGGTTTGGTCTCGTGTGTAAGTAGGTCTATTTATTCATTTTGATTATGCAGGAATGGATGCTCAAGTTGCTTATGGCTTCCACCATCTACGTAATGAGAAACCTTATCTTGCACAAGGCCCAATTGCCAACAAGGTTGGGTTGATAATTTTCCCCCTTTTTAGTATTACGTGATTCTATTGCAACGTCTGTATTAGTCTTATTCTTCCTCAACTTCAAACATCTCCTCCTTCTAGAAGTCGGTCTGACCCATGAAGTCGAGACTAATTATCTTGCATTGAGAGATAAAAACATGAGATGATCGTCATATAGTTACAATATTACCAGAATTGTGCCGCTCTTTTTTATTTTTCGGCTTATCTTTCAAGTCAAAAGGAATCGTTAAATGTTGAACTTTAACGTTACTTGGAAAGTTGGAGTACTTAATCAATTGATACAGGTCTCCTTTATTCACTTTATTTATGAATTAAAACAACAGACAATGAACTTTGTGTTTCCTTCGATTCTTTTGGGATGAAAGGAAAGTCAAGGTGGATGAGGTGGCAAAGGGAGGTCATTCTTTATCCATCAAAGCTGGAAAAACCTTTTGAGGACACAAAATAGTGGAAACTATGAAAATTCTGGGGAATGATAAAGCACCAGGACTTGATGGATTTATAATGTAGTTCATTAAAAGATGTTCGATGTTTTTTTCTATTGAAATGTAAAGGATGAGTTTAACTAATACATCTCCTATTGCAGCTGATTTATTCTGGCTATAGTTGTGGTCAAGGCTGGTTCTTCACGCCTTGCTCTAGTGATCCGAGTTTAAGGTTAGATATTCTCACGAGAAGTTTTGTTTTAGGTTAATTTGACAGTTTTTGGACTATATTTTTCCTGATTCAGATAATCTTTTTTTTTCCCTAAAAAGAAGTTAACAAAGAATGGGTTTTAGCATTGTTGCTTTGTGAATTGAAATGAGTTTTAAAAATATAGAAAATAAGAACACTCGATTTTAAATTTGCATATCAGATTTTCTAAAAAAAAATTTTTTCTGGTTGTAGGGGACTTAAAAACATCCTAAGGATGCATGTCAAAAAGATCAATTGTTCAGATTGGGAGCACATTTCAATCCCCTCGAGGTATCATGCGCTCTCTCGGCTTAACTTGTATTTTATATGGCATTTTTGAGTTCATCCGTTCAATATGATAGAAATAAACAGAATTTTGTTTATTAAACAGTTTCATTGAAAGGACTATGGTGGTGATTAACTGGGTAGCTGCTATGTGGCAGCCTAATGGATGCAACAGCATCCGTTAGGAGTATGTAACTATTAAACTAGAATTAACAGCTAAAACAAGCTAAATCGCTATTTTTCTGTGTTTTTATCTGGTTATGAGGAAAGGGTGATTTCCAAGAGGTGAGGTAGAACCATTCAAGCAATGCTTTGAAGTGTTTTCCACTATAGGAAATTTGTTGGCTCTAGCCAGCACCCAATATGTTGCGATTGAAATCTGATTATGTTTTTTGAATTCGGGGCGAGGCGATTTTTGCTTCCTAACTATAGGCATTTACCTTATTATGTGAATCATTTCCTGCAGTGTAAGATCTCTGGTTGCTTTGAATCTCAACAACTATGGTAGTGGCAGACATCCTTGGGGAAATCTGTCCCCAGAATATATGGAAAAGGTATATAGTTCCTTTTTTTTAATTTTTTTTTACAATTAGGTTCTATTTTCTAGCCCAATTCCCCTTAGTTTACCTAGATTTTCATTTTGGAATCACATTCCTTGTTGAGGTTGCTTTGGAAGAGAGTGGAGTAAAAAAAAAAGTTTAGCAGTTCATCTGTGTATGGTATTATAATATCCTACCGTAACCTGCCATATTTCTCTCAACTTCTAAATTCGTTATTGAAAACCATAAATACCACTTCCAGGAAAGGAATACTTACCTTTCACATTTTTTATTTTGTCTTTAGAGAGGGTTTGTGGAGGCACATGTTGATGATGGACTTCTAGAAGTTTTTGGTCTAAAGCAAGGATGGCATGCATCACTTGTCATGGGAGAGCTCATCTCTGCTAAACATATAGTTCAGGTAATTCAACTATGTTGGTTTATTAATCAAATTATTAGTGAAAACTCTTGAAGCGTTATATGAATTAGAGTTGAAGGAAAGTATAGGGGAATGGATGCAAATTTAAAAAATGTTGGTAAAATTGTTTTTGCATACAGGCTGCAGCAATTCGATTCGAACTTCGAGGTGGAGAATGGAGAAATGCATTTCTGCAGATGGATGGAGAGCCATGGAAGCAACCGATGAATGACGAATTTTCGACTTTTGTCGAAATCAAGAGGGTACCATGCCAATCACTAATGATCAGTGGAGAATAATTTGAGAGGTATATTGTTGATGCTGCTGGTAAGTTCATACTGTTAGGAATAACCATTAATGTAAAGTCGTCGGGTCGATCGTCCTTTTGAAGGACTGTAAATGTTCTACATTCAACAAGTAATTGTTTAGGTGTGGGAGAGTTCGCTGTTTCAGATTCATTTGGGGGGAAGAACATGTGGTTGTCGTTGGGATTGTTGGCTGAACTACAAATGAGTTGTGATAGTGTCCAAAAGCCTCAAAACGTATTTATTATTTCTACGGTGTGATATTAATTCATTTGACAGTTCATGAAGCTCCCATCTCTCTATTTTCTGTTCCCTTCTATTTCTCTCCGTTCAATTTATGGTATATTAATGATGGGTTTGTGATGAACTCTATAAAGGCCAAGAATGCTTTTGATTGGTAACTAGTTTTTCTTATTAGCAGCCACGCCCACCACGCCCACCACGCCATGGCATTCTCCATTGCCGTGCTCCAATTTCTTTGGGGTTTAGGTTTCTTCTTTTCAATTTCAAGCTTGATCCTCAAACAGTTTCAATTCCATTTTCTTAGGCAATTTTAAATATTTCCAACTCAACCCTTATAATTCGTGTTGGGTCGGTTCGGGATGTCGGGTTCCATGTATACTTCTACCTTCGCCTACCACCTAAATACAATCGATTCAAATCTAAATATAATTCATCAAAAGAGACGAGGAATAGAGAGTGAGCATGGATTCTCCCTGTTAGTTAAAGGTTAGGGACAATACATTCTCTGTTCCCAACCCAACCCCGACCCCGGACCTTGCCCTTACCCTTGCCCCAATCATATCTTTGTATATAAATAACAAATGGGACCAATTAAAAAGTGAAAGAAAGGTGCATTCTGAAGGCTTATGTTTGCAATAATAGGGTGAACAAGAAGTGTTAATTGGCTTTGATGGCAAGGCAAATCATAAAATGCATCATTTCTCTTCCTCCTTTGCTTCTTCCTCAAAGCACCCAACCACAACACTACAATGCCCTTTGAGTTTCAAAAAGAGAGAGGGTTTTGATTTATGCTTCCTAAACAAGAATATTGGAATCAAAGCTATGCCTAAGGTGGCCTCACACTTCAACTAAAACTTAAATCATTTTCTTGCATCTTCCCATATTGCTCCTTTACCTTCATACATATACAAACAACATAACATAACTTCTCTTACATTTGCACTCCCAATCCAATATTACAACCACATGGGGTTCTCCTCGCCTCTTAACATACTCGTCGGGATCCCTTCCGACAACGTCGACCAGAGCAAGGAGCTTCTTTCTTGGGCCATCACAGTTCTTGCTCATCAACATGACTGCATTGTTGCTACTCATGTTCTTGGTTACTATCATTTTCTTCACTCCACCTTCACTTCAACAACCAACTAACTTTTTGACATGTTTTCTTTCAATTGAATGACAGTCATTGATGATACGAAGAAGCATGGATCGACCTCCATGACAATGAAAATTCAATCGCAACTTCGTCGAGCCAAAGCCTACGTCATATCGATTCTTGGAGAGTTCGCCAACATTAGCCAATCCAAGCAGGTGAATTGATATAACGATGCTCTTGTCATGATATTGTCTACTTTGAACTTAAACCTACCCGTTATTTTCAGGTAAATTTGGAAGCGCGGGTTGGTTTTAACTCGAGCGTTGGAAGAGGTTTGATTGAAGAAATGAACTCAATTTCAGCTGACTTTCTTGTTCTTGGTGGTGCGAGAAACAGATTAAACAGGTAGGGAAGAAGCTCAAATTCTACAATATATTTTGTTTATAATGGAAATTAATAATTTGAACTCTCAGCATTACAAGGTACTGTTTTGAGAATGCTCCTGAGAAATGTACTCTGATGTTCTTGGGAAAGCAAGAGCAGCTAAAACAAAATTTGGGCTCTGATTCTCTTCAATCCAAAGGTAAAATGAAGTGGGAAATTTTTTTATTATCAAAATTTAAGTTTGATAATCATGTTCTTAGCTGGTTGAGCTTAATCATTTGCAAACGCAGGGGAAGTTTTCAGAGCTCAAAAAACAGAGAGAAACAGAGCCGACGATGAGGTGGAAGCCTCCGGCGACTCCATTTCCAACACGACGACGGAGGACGACTCCTCCACGTCCGGAGACTGCAGCACAATTGGGTCTCCACCACCACTAAGTTCCCCTTTGAAATCCCAATCCGGCGACCGGCGGCAGCGACTGTCGCCGTGTAAACTGATATCATCGTTCATTGGGTCACCATTTCGGAAGAGAAATTGTAGCTTTTCTGAGAAGCGATCGGCTCAGCCTTTGTTGAGTTGTTTCAGCTATGAAATGATTTTGAATGCTACTAATAACTTCCACCCAGGTTTGTGTTCAGAAGCTCTGTTTTTTTTTTTTTTTTTTTTTTTTTTTTTTTTTTTTTTTTTTTTTTTTTTTTTTTTTTTTTTTTTTTTTTTTTTTTTT